TCTCACCATTTCAGTTTATGTCTGGTATCATTTTTCCCTCAACCTGAAAAACTTTCTTTAATATTTCTTATAATAGTGATTGTTGATAATGGATCCTTTTAATTTTTGTTTTTCTCTAAATACTTATATTGTAGCCTTAAGATTTAAAAGATATTTTCATAGGGTCTAAACTTTTATGTTGGCAGGTTTCCCCCCCAATAATTTAAAGATAGCATTCCCTTGACTTACAGTTTGCATAGTTTCTTATGAGTAATCCACTGTAATTTTTTTTATCTTAGTTCCTGTGTATGTGATTTGTATTTTAAAATATGAAAATCCATTAAAATATTCTGCTTAGTGCTTTTTGGGCCTGTAGCTACATATCTTTCATTATTGTGAAAAATTCTCAGGTATTATTTCTTCAGATATTTTTTCTGCCCCATTCTCTGTCATCCCCTTCTGGAATTTCAGTTATACATGTTAGATCATTTGATATTATTCAGAGCTGTTAGGTGCTGTGTTCTTTTCCTTTCCTTTCCCCTTTTGTCTTTTTGTTCAGCTAATTCTATTGATCTGCAGTTCACTAATTACTTATCTGTGTCAAGTTTACTGGTGAGTATATTGAAGAAATTAATCTCTGTTACCATGTTTTTCAGTTTTAGCATTTCCTTTAGACTCATTGCTGTAATTTCCATCTCTCTTGGAAATTCCTCACTTGTTCATGCATTTTGTCCTTTTTTATTAAAGGCTTTAACATATCAATTTTAGTTTAAGTTCATTGTCTAATAATTCCAATATCTGGTTATTTCAGAGTCTAGTTCTGTTTATATTTTTCTCACCTAGAGAGTAGGTTTTTCTTCCCTTGAAGTTCTTTTATGTTCCACAATCTTTTATTAAATACTATATACCTAGTGTAGAACAGTAGAGAATGATAGAAATCCTATTTGTCATTGGAAATGGATACACTTCTTTTTCTAGGTCATTTGTATGAAGACTTATGTTCACTTATTCAGGAGTTAAGCTGGGCTGAGTCTCATTGTTGCCATGGTTACCTTCAGTTTGTCCTGGACTTCAAATTCTCTAGTGTTACTTTATTTGTGAGGGAGAGCGAGCGCTAGGGTGGTTATGGGTATTTTCATCAATGTTATGCTCTACCCTGAACTTTCCCTGGGCACTGTTACCACAGTGGCTTCTCTTGATGCTTTTGTCCCTACTCTAGAAATAGATTTCTGTTGTTTGTAATCCAGAGGTTGGTATCTGGTGTTGAGGGAGCAAGACTATTTTTATTGTATTGGTTTAACCTCACTCTTAGGCAGACCTGGTATGTTATGGTTTTGGAGTGGAGTTTTAAAAAATGATGCCATCTTTCTTTACTCTTTAATCTTTGCTTTTAATTTTTATATTTTAGAAAGAGAGAGAAACATCAATGAGAAGAAACACTGATTTGTTGCCTCCCATATGTACTCCCATATGAGGGGATCTAACCCACAACATTGGTATGTGCCTTGACACTCCAATTATCTTAGCCACCCAGCAAGGCTCAACTCTGTCTTGAATCATTGATTTGTCTTGTATGAGACAATTTCCTACCCCTTTGGTAGGGATAGGAGCCCGCTAATAAAGAGATGTAGTCTTAGGCCATGACTGTTTTCTGCCTCTCACCCAGGTATAAAAGATTTTTCCCCCTTTTCCTCCTCCTACAATGGTCTCACTTGGTTACAAATTTTGTTATTCCTCACCTAGTGGCTTAAGACCTTTATTTCTATGGGGTGCAGATATTGTTGGGGCTTCATGTGTTTTCTATGACAGAAGCTACTTTCCTTCTCCAGGTTTGCATCACAAAGAAAGCATTTTCTAGTCTTCTGCCCTGCTCCTAATCTTTCTCCAAAACACCTGACGGAGACCTGTACAGGAGTCTGCCACTGGGTTTGAATTCCTTTTTGTGTTTGTGACTCTCAGAGATTCTACATGCTCATATTTCCTCTACACTGGATCTTTAATCATTTAAAAAATTTGTCTTAATTATTTTTAATCACTTGTATGACACCCACCATTTCTTCTTTTGGTGCCCTGTCCTAGAGGAGTCAGAGCTTCTTTCCCAACTTCTTTTGATGGGACCCAACTGTCCTTGGATGCCGGATTATTGGTTGCCCTATAGTCCCAGTTTTCTGATAGATTTTGCTCTTTATTTGTTCTTGTTAAGGGGGACACCAAGATCTTTCCAGCTTTCTAAATCCTATGTGGAAATGAAACTTAACATACCTTTTAAAAGTTAAAGTTCCGGAGAAGAACCAAGATGGCGGCATAGGGCAGACACCCGAATGCAGCCTACCATAACAAGTTTGAATTTAGAACTGAAAAACAGGGGAAACATCACCTGAAGCGCCAGATGGCTGAGGGGAGGCTCTACCATCTGGGAAGGAGAGAGAAGGCTCACTGAACCTCAGGAACTGTGAAGTACAGAAAACTGTGCATGAAAAAGCGGCCGCAGAGTTCGCTGCCGGCTGGCTTGCAGAGCGTGGAGAGGGTGGACCAAGTTTGCTATAGGCTTACTCCCTGCGCGGAGAGGGCAGACAGCTAATGCGCGGCTGGCTTTCTTGTTCTGGAGGAAAACAGAACCACCCTATTGCGCTGATAGAAGGCCCCAGACAGGGGGAGGCAAGACTGTCTGGCAGTGGGCTGGGATCTTGGAGGTGTGTGAAGCCAGCTGCCATTACCGCGGGACTCAGAAAAAAGACCCTGGTAGGGAGGGGTTGAATAAATCTTGTCTGCACCACTCGAGACTACGCCCCAAGCAGAGCACAGAGGCCCTTCCAATGGCTACCTTCCTCATTCACTGCCAATAGGACTCTCCTAGGGAGAGGCAGTCAGGAATCTAAAGCTTATCTGCGCCTATACCAAAGAGGTGTGCGAGCCTGCAACCAATTGTGTGAGATTAAACAAAGCTTGTCTGTGCCACCCTGAGACTCCGCCCATCCAAGTGGAATACAGAAACCCTTCTAGCTGAGACACTTCTGATCCCCATAGCCAATTGGCTTGGAGATCAAGGCTTCCCAGTGATATCAACAACAAGCAAGGCTTAACAACAAGACTGCACACGCATCCCACAAAGGGCTACATCAAGACTGTCCACCTCAGGTAACTGGGAGGCTGATTCACTGAACCATATAGGACACCTTAGCACACAAAGCCACCCTACCAACTCAGGGAAGCTGTGAAAATGCCAAGACAAGGAAATAGATCACTAACAAAAGAAATGGAGGAAAAGAAGAGACTGGATATAGAGTTCAAAACCACGCTTATAAGGTTTTTCAAGAATTTCCTAGAAAAGGTCGATAAGACCTATGAGGTGATGAAAAGGGATCAACAAGAACTAATAAGGGATCAACAAGAAATAATAAGGGATCAACAAGAAATAAAGAATACATTGTCTGAAATAAAAAATATTATACAGAGTCCTAAAAACAAAATGGAAGATCGCAAGAATCAAGTCAAAGATTTGGAACATAAAGAGCCAGAAGACACTTCTCCCCAGAAGCAAGAAGACAAGAGAATCCAGAAAATTGAAGATAATGTAAGAAACCTCTGGGACAACTTCAAGTGAACCAACATCAGAATTATGGGGGTCCCAGAAAATGAGAGAGAGCAAGATATCGAAAACATACTGAAAGAAATAGTGACAGAAAACTTCCCCCACCTGGTGAAAGAATTAGACTTACAAGTCCAGGAAGTGCACAGAACTCCAAACAAAAGGAATCCAAAGAAGACCACACCAAGACACATCATAATTAAAATTCCAAGAGCAAAAGACAAAGAGAGAATATTAAAAGCAGCAAGAGAAAAGCAGGTAGTTACCTACAAAGGAGCACCCATACGTATGTCAGCTGATTTCTCAACAGAAACCATGCAGGTCAGATGGGAATGGCAAGAAATATTCAAGGTAATAAATAGCAAGAACCTACAGCCAAAAATAATCTACCCAGCAAAGCTATCACTCAGAATCGAAGGCCAGATAAAGAGCCTCACAAATAAAAAAAAAGCTAAAGGAGTTCATCACCACCAAACCAGAATTATATGAATTGCTGAAGGGGGTTCTTTCGGAAGAGAAAGTAAATAAAGAAAAAACTATGAACAACAAATACTTAACTATCAACAAGTGAATCTAAAAACCAAAGGAATTAAAAAAATCTGATGAACAATATTAACTGTTGAATATAATAGAATCAGAGGTATGGAAGGGGAGTAGACTGACGATTCTCGGGGGAAAAGGGGAGAGGGGGGCGTGGGAAGAGACTGAACATAAACTGTGCACCTATGAATGAGGACAATGGGGGGTGGGGAAAGGGCAGAGGGTGGGGTGGGAACCTGGTGGAGGGGATCAATGGAGTAGGGGGGAATGAGGAACATTTGTAATAATATGAACAATAAAGATTTATTAAAAAAAATAAAAAATGAAAGTTAAAGTTCCTGGTAAGAAATATAACTTCTGTGTTAATTTAGTGGTTCTCAAGTTATTTCTATTGGTGAAACATTAGTTAGTTATGATGATAGTTACAGAACTATTGTTTTTTCCAAATTAAAGTAATTATATATTTGTGACAATATATACATATGTAATTAGTATTACTAATAATTGATGTAATTTACTGAACTTTTTTTGGATTTTGGTAGTTATACTAGATATTTTTCATATAATTCTCAGTAAAATGTTGGAACATGGTTTACTGTGCCCTTTTTTATGGATGAGAGAAACTGAGGATAAATGGATTAAATTGATTGCTTTGCATCACAGAGAATTAGTATGTAGTACAGATGAGATTTGAGCCCGTATCGTTCTAGTTTCAAAATGCATTCTCTTTGTACTCTGCAATAGAGTTTTCTGCAGTAGTTAATTTCTTGTTACTGGGATTAACACAAAAAGACAGGGGAGGGAGCAAATTAATGATAAAAATCTAATTAGACTTCTATTACTAAATACATTTTTATGTCTGTTTAACATGGGTCAATTTTTTGAAAAATAGGCAATGATTTTGGAAAGGACGATGCCATCGGAGGGAATGTGAACAAATTTATGGTGCTTCCAACTGGATACTGTGGACAGCCCAAGAAAGGACATCTTGTCTTTGATGCTTGCTTTGAGAGTGGTGAGTGTATTAAAGGCCTTTGCTCTTGATCTTTTCTGATGAGGGTTTTTTTTTTAGAAGCTATTCCCACCTAAATGTTATTCAGTCCATTTAATGTTTCACCAGAATGAATCAAGCTGTCAGAGGAAAATCAGTTTTGATGGGATTAACTTGGAAATACTTAAAATGAGATACAATATTTTTATTGCTATAAATTATTAGAAGTATACTGGTAATAATGGTGAACATTTGTATAGTATTTTATATTTTATAAAGTACTTACCTAAATCTTATTTGTCTGGGAATATAATTCAACTAACTATATGGTAAATCAATTATTGAATGTTTATTGTATATATGGTTTTGTATGACATTCTCACAGAACTTAATCATTGTGATTCAGGAGGCTTTCTATAAAGAAATGATGAGAGAACAGATTCCATTGAACACAAGCAAAACAGCAAAATTAATAATGCATCATAATCAACAAATGCTTGTAGGTATTCTAAAAGGGGAGATCAGAACTTGATTGTGAATTCCCATCCAGTAGGTATTTGATCTTGTTAAAATATTTATGCCCTGAACCTCATATTCTACTATGAATAGCAAACATTATGTATTCAGAATATGTTGAAAATATTAGTGAGAAAAGTAACATAATTTCCTTTTTAAAATAATTAATTTTATTGATTTCAGAGAGAAAGGGAGAGGAAAGGGAGAAAGAGATAGAAACATCAATAATGTGAGAGGATCATTGATTGACTGCCTCCTGTATGCCCCACACTGGGAAACAAGCCTGCAATCTAGGCATGTACTCTGGCCAGGAATCCAACTGTGACCTCCTGGTTCTTAGGTTGATACTCAACCGCTGAGCCATGCTGGCCAGGTATTTTTGTTTTTGAATAGTGTGTGTGTGTGTGTGTGTGTGTGTGTGTGTGTGTGTGTGTGTGTGTGTTGTGTGTGAGTGGATATGCCAGCTCTCTGAATCCTAAGAACATTGGTTATTTATACCAACTATTGAAAACTTGTTTATCCAGAGTTTTGCTCTTAGTTTATTCCATGTTGTCTTAGTTTGCTAGGGCTACCTTAACAAAGAGCCACACACTGAATGTCTTAAACAATAGAAATTTATTGTCTCACAGTTCTGAGATCAAGGTATTGTCAGGCTTGGTTCATTCTAGGGGTTTGGGGAAGAATCTGTTCTATGCCTCTTCTCTAGCTTCTGGTGGTTTGCCAGCAATTTTTGTTGTCATTTGGTTTGTAGAAGTATCACCTTAATTTATGTCTTCATTTTCACATGGTGTTTTCTCTGTGTGTATGTCTGTCTCTAATATCTACCCTTTTTTTTTTTTTTTTTTTTAAGGACACAGGTCATTGATTTAGGGCCCATAGTAATGGCCCTATTTTAATTAGATTACTTCTGTAGAGGTCTTTTCTCATAGTAAAGTCTCATTATGAGGTTCTGGGGAGTTGGGACTGAAACATATGAAGTTTTATGGGGACACAATTCAACTCATAACACAGAATTGTAGTGTTGTCCTTCCAGTCAGATATGAGCATTGTCCACACTGTTAGGATCAATGTTTCCTATTTATTTATTTTTTAACCTAGTATTGTTGTCTTGTCCAGGAATTCATTTGGTGCTTAGAAAATACTTTTTGAATTCTTTTTACTTTCTGTTTACTTTTATATTATACTTAAGGTATGATGGGTTTTTACAATAATTCTATGAGTAGGAATTATTTTATTCCTACACTATGGAATAATCCAGATTCCTTTTCTAGAACACCTTTTCCTTAACTAGACTCATATTTTTCCATCCCTTTCCAAAAAGCTCAGTACAAAAAATTGCCTATCTGACCACAAAGTAACTAACTGAATAATACATATTCTCCTCAAATGTATGAACAGTTGTTTATATCAACTTATTTGTCCTTGCAGTATAGTAGAGTGACTAAGTGACATCATTTGGAGTCAGGGTGCAGTTCAAATCCTTACTTGAATACTAGATCATGGTTTCCTCATTTGTTAATGGTGAATGATGCCTACCTTATATCTTAATTGAAGGAAAAAAATATTTCATTGTTTAAAAAATTAAGCCCATTTTAATAAAATATATACATACCAATAAAATATTTAAAAATAGATAAATGAGGAGATCACATGAAGGGAAAATAGCAAAAGAAAATTCATCTGGATGAGTACATAAAATGATGCTATGAGATCCATAAATTTGCTATAGATAGATGACAAGTTTTACTGACTTTTCTGGCAGCCAAGTAATAAGATAAAAACAAATCAGGTACTGGAATCTGATAGAAACCCTTTCTAATGAGCTTCCCAAAGCATATACCGAAATATGATGAATAACACCTTCCACAATATCCTTGTGTTCTTTACAACAGTATGTTTCATAGAGGTGTATTTTGTAACATCCTTCAATGTAGGATGAGGGCATAATGCTAAAGGGCATTTTAGTGAAAACAATTCAGTTACCATTAAAAACAATTTGTTTGTTATATATAGCCTCCATTTTATCTATCTATCTATTTTTCCTTTTTATTGAATTTATTGAGGTAAGACTAGTTAATTCAAGGATGTATTTGAGATTATTTAAAACAGGGATGTCAGAGGGGTTTTGTATTATGTGCTAACTCTGAGCTACTGGCTGTGGTTTCCTGGTATGCTGTGTTGAAAAGGATTTTGTAAGTGTATCTGGATTTACTGGGAAGGAGTTAGGTGATTAATAGATTCAGTGAATTGAGAGTATTGACTCATATAGATTAAGTATATTCCCTTCAGATAAGCCTCCATAAGTTTTTTTTCCTCCTTTCAGAGCTATTAGCTTTGTAAAGGGCCCAATACATTTCCTGACCCTGAGTTAGTGGATAATTAATGTTTTTCTTATGAGAAATAAGGTCTTTGGGTCAAATATGAATTTCCTATGAATCCCTGATCTGTTTTTTTTTTTCATATATACCTCCCTATAAGTATATTTCCCTTGAGGAAACAGCCATACTACTCTAATTTTATTTCTCCAGAGATATTTGACACTTTTTATGATTTTTAAACACTTACTTTGTTCTCTTCTGTTAGTAATCAGCTTTAGGACAGAATTCGAGTCTAATTAATCCCTGTTCTTCCACCAAACCAAGCAGAGTACTTACAAAATTAACCACTACGTTAATATTGTATTTATTTATTGAATGAAAGATGGGGAAAGATTAACTTTCTAATAGCTTTGATGAAAAAATAATATTTAATTGCTGCTTATTTCCTAGCCCACCAACTTTTCTGAAGTTTTCATACCTTTGCAGATGTTGTTTTCTCTACCTGGTAAAATGTTAATTCAGACTCAGTCCAGCATTTCTTTTTGAGAGAAACAGTACATCTCAGGCAGGTTTGGCTGTCTGTATCCCTGTATTTACAACCATTTCATAAGCTATTCTATGATATGCCTTATTACATTGCAGTTATTTAATCATGTTTTTTTTTCCTTATCAATAAAAGTGCCTTGAAGTCAGGAATGGTTTCTTATTAATTTTTTTCTCCTAGCACCTAGTATACTATCAGTCATTTAATAAGGAACTCAATAAATATATGAATAAATGAGGGATGATAGATAATGAACAAAGTAATCTTCATAAAGTGAAATTTTAAGATTGATAAAAAATATTTTACACTTATATAAAAAATAACATTAATAGTAAAAAGAATATTAAGGAAAAAAATAAAACGATCACTTATTTATTGCTTACCAGATACTATCATAAATTACATATACATAGTTTATCTCATTTAATACTCACAAAACCTTCTGAGGTGTTAAATCTCTATAAGTTTGGAAACTAATGCTCAGGAATGTAAATCTGTTTACCTTAACTCACATGACTGACAAGTGGTGTAGCTGAATACGAAACTGAGAATTTTCTAGCTCCAAAGGCCATACTTTTAACCATTATCTCCCCCTATATATAAAAGCCTAAGCAACCCAATGACTGGTCAACTGGTTGTATAATGCACAATGATTACCAGAGAGCAGATGCTCAAGGCAGTCAGACATCCCTCTCACAATCCAGGATTGCTGGTTCCCAACTGTTCGCCTACCTGCCTTCCTGATGGCTCCTAACTGCTTCTGCCAGCCTGATAACCCCCTAACCACTCCTATGCCAGTCTGATTAATGTCTAACTGCTCCCCTGCCAGCCTGTTTGCCCCCAACTTCCCTCCTCTGCTGGCCTGGTTATCCCTAACTTCTCCCCCTTGCAGCATTGATCGTCTCCAACTGTCCTCCCTTGCAGACCTGGTCCCTCTCAACTGCCCTCACTTGCAGGCCTGGTGCTTCCCAACTGCCCTCCCCTGCTGGCCATCTTTTGGTGGCTATCTTGTGTCCACATAGGGGCAAGATCTTTGAACACATGGGGGAAATCATCTTGTGTGTTGGAGTTATGGTCAGTCTGTATATTACTCTTTTATTAGATAGGATAGAGGCCTGGTGCATGGGTAGGGTTCGGCTGGTTTGCCCTGAAGGGTATCCTAGATCAGGGTGGGGGTTTCCTTGGGGTGTATGGTGGCCTTGGTGAGGGGCCTGTGGTTGTTTGCAGGCCAGCATACCCCCTGGGTACCCAAGCAGAGGCCCTAGTATCTGGAATTTATTTACCTTCTACAATTGAAACTTTGTAGCCTGGACTGGAGCCAAGTCTTCTGCTCACTCCCTGGCCAGCAGCCATTTCTGTTTGAATTTGTTTACCATCTATAATTGAAACTTTATATCCTTGAGTAGAGGCCTAGGCCGGCCAGGGCAGGTGGAAAGCTTGGCTTCCTCCATTGCAGGGGGGCAACCCTAGACTTTTCTCTCTGGCTTAGTGGCTGCCACCATTTTTCTTGGGATTTGGGATTTATCTTATTCTTTTTTTTAATATATATAATATATTTTATTGATTTTTTTTTTTTTTACAGAGAAGAAGAGAGAGGGATAGAGAGTTAGAAACATCGATGCAAGAGAAACATTGATCAGCTGCCT